GGTAAATTATCAATTAGTCCTATTAATATTCTTGAAAGATCATTAAGGACTAACCTGCTGTTTCTGAAGGAACAGCTACTTGTTAACTGAAATTAATAAGGACCACTACTTATCCACCAATTTATGTCCTTTTAGTTTGAAGGAACATCCAAAGTCTTTCCTTCTAACATAAAATAAGAGCTAGACTAAAGCATATCATATGTATATAAATATACAGTACTGTACTGACACAGCATGCATTATTTTTACGTAAGCCCCCATGTTCAGGTCATTTGGAATGGCAGACGCTGGGGCATGAAAACAAACAGAACATTTTCCATCTAGTACTTTCACAGTGCTTAATAAATAAGTAACTCAATAACCGTAGATGGATCTTCTGCAAGAAGACAGTGCACACAGATAAAAAAATATTTTCAATTTACCAGTCTTACAATTGTCACAAAAACCACCAAGTCCACAAATCAAACTTGGCTACAATAGTCAAAACTACTTGAAAGCACTATGCTCACAGTCAAATAAATCAATGATGTCTTTCTAATTTATAAAGGCATCTCAACTACGTAATATAATTTTAAGCAAAATGCAAACTCAACGTGGGTGTTTCTCAAAATGCTGACTACTGGGCCCCACTCACATCTGCTGAATCAGATTTGCGGGGGCAATGCCAGGGAGTCTGCACTTTCAGTAACTCCCCCAGGTGACCCTCCTGCACACTTTCTGCAGAACCACCACCTTCCCTGTGAGCTTTATAGCAAGGTTTTGGATATCAAGAACTAAAATCTCATTTGGGACCTTTTAAAACTAAATTTCATTACATACCGAATTAATATTTCAAAAAGACTTAAGTAACAAGCTGTGGCAGAAAAAAACCAAATACATGAAAAAATGACAGCAGAAATTTAAAAAAGAAACTTTTAGTACAGGCCACTTTATTTTTAAGTCAAGATTTAAGACACCCCTAATCATTTCAAGGACTAACCAGTCTTTATAAACATAATTCCTAACTTAAAAATAATCCCATCCACAATATTAAAAATATAGTATTTCAAATATGTTCAAATTCATTTACTCAGCTGTTAAGCAAATCAGGATATGAACTGCTTATATTATACCAAATACAAGCAACGATTAAATTTATAAGTTAAACCCAAACAAATCTGTTTATATTCCACTATTAAATTTACTGTGGTCAGAACCTGATTTTCATAAACTTATATAACTTTCACAAACTTACGTAGACATGTATAATGGAAAGGGCAATGAAGCAAAAACTAGAAGGCATCTAGAATCCAGTTCTGGCCAATCTAGCTGCTGGCTATATTATATGACCTTAGGGCCTAGAGAGATCATTTTACCTACCTAACAAACAAGGAAGGTACAGCTATCTACTAATTTCACAGATTTATTGTGAGAATCAAAAGGGATACTATGTAATACACTCTGAAATACTGTAAAGCATTTCATAAATCAAAGGCATTATCATTAAGAGTAAAATTTGAGAGACACTATCTTTAGGTGCCTGCTGTAAAACAGACTATTACAGAAACAATAAACATAAAAATTGACCTTTCAGATTCAACTAGATGTTGTACATTATTGTATATATCCTATAAATTATAAATATAAAACATAAGAATTTAATAGTCATCTGTCTTATGCCCCCATTTATAATAGATATATTTCTTGTGTAAAAACAGAAATGAAATTACATGCACCATGAATTGATAACTGTCAAAACTGGTCACTAAGTATAATATTCTACTTTCACATGCTGGACAATTTCCATAATAAAAAATTTTAACAAGACAACAATGTATATATGTGTGTGTATAAAATATCTGTAAAAGCTAAAAACCAAATCTTTTAAAGTTTTTTTTTTGAAAATTATCCCCATACCTATTGTATCATTTTCCTTCAATGTTACCTTAGATTCTACACATTCCAAAATAAGCTGCTCTCACGTACCCTTCTATATATATATCACGGCACCTATTAGAAAATAACTATTCCTCTCCAACGGAGTGAGTAAATACTCTTACCCAAGCTGCAAAAACTTAATTTTCTGCTCCCTGATCCTTACTCCTTTAATTTTCTCATTCATTACAAAATTCCAGAAGTAAAAAGTGAAATGACCAGTTTCAACTGCAGGTATGTGTAAAAACATAAGAAAAAAAAGGGGGCAAATACACTTTTTTGTTAGTACTGCAGAAGACCACCAATAGTTGTAATTGGCCGTTCCTCTTAAAACCTGTTGACCCATACAACTCAATTCACATGGTAAGAGAATGCTGCACCCAAAATTAAGTTAACATATCTGTCAGACAAAGGAAATTGGTAAATTTAACCCCCAAATCAAGGATTCTATCAAGATATGCATAACAATGTATAATTACTCTGCATACATCAACGTAATTGCTCAAATGATGTCCTTTAACCTGGGGCCATATTCCAGACTGAAAAGCATAAACTACCTTTCATCACAAGCAGATTTTTTAACTTAATAAAACTATTTGTAGCTCAATAGCTTATGCTTTACAGTAGTCTATGAAGAAACTACAAGTGGTGAATTAAAAATTAAATGCAGATAGAAATGGTAACTATCTTGTGGTTTGCAATTAAAACTGTATTTAGTAATATCCACACATTTATTTATTCATTACTTGAAAGCTGAATCTTTTTTTATGTTACATCTGCAGTCACAATCATCAGAAGATATCCTGTGTCTAAAGAGATAGTGTACCTCATGTTTTTGATTTGTGAGGGAGGGGGACAGAAGGGACCAAGTGGTCAGGGAAGGAAATCTCACCCATTTAGCTGTCACTACAGCACATGTTTTCTAAGCATTAAAAACTCCATTCATTTTTATATAAGATATTGATACATTTGAGAAGAGCCATGCACAGAAACCACTTTTTCCAATATAGTCTTCAATAACTTTGAGGGTAAGTACTCCTGCTGGAAGTCCTAATTTGTATTATTTAAAAACAATTAATTGTAAAATCTGCAGTCAAACCATAAAAGGCAAGCTGTTGGAAGATGAAAAACAAAAAAAAAATTACTATACCTTATTCAAACAAGGTTAATAATTTTGCATGTTTACTTTAGAATCTCTTTATAGCACAGAAGCTAAAAAAAATTTATAAAACCACTATCATGCTGGTGGGTACCCTTATTTGGTGGCAATGGTTAGTTTTAAATATCTATTTACAATGAAGCTATTACTTTCCTTATTTCTTTTCCTAAGTAGATCCAGACTATTATTGACCCTGTTATTTTATCATAAGCACAAATCAAATCTAGTTTCTCACTTCATCTCAGAGTTCTACACTAAATCCCAAGCTTCAATTAAAAAACCATGATTTCCCATACAGTTGCAGAAACACCCCTAAAAGAGTGAGGAATTGCAGAATATGGGAAAATGAAGACAATTTCACCTTACACATCTAAATGGGGATGCCAGTAATGACAACTGCAACAAAAATCAAGAGGATGTTCTCTGAATTTTCACCATTTTAATAAAAGAAAATGCTGAAATTTTAAATTAAAGGTGGCGCTCTGTCCTCAACTCACCCGATTGTGACTCACTTTTGCAGACTATATGGTAGGAAATAACTTACTTTTCTAAGATCTTTGCAGTTACACCCAAGCCAAAATCAGGACAGAGATCCACCCTTAATTACAGCAATTCATGCAAAGCACAGAAACTAAAACGGCCCCCTGAAATCATGGCTAAAGAAGCCCATTTCATATACTAGTTCTCAAAGTCTCCCTTTAAGGAGTATGTTCCTATTTACTTCAAATTTGAACTCACCAGGACAAAAAAGAAAAAAACAGGGGGAGGGGGACCCAGATGAAACGCTCAAGTACAAAAAGCAGATTCTCCTCCAATCCCTCTAATTCCCCCAATCCGCCTCTGCCACACACAAGGACAGGGAGTCTGGGGAAGGCTGGCAGCAGGACAAGCGGTGAAGGCCCTTCATTCACTCACGTGGGCCACTATCCAAAGGGTTACACACCCTCTGCCCGAGGAGAGCCTCATACAAAGCAGATCCTTACAGGTACTTTTATTATAAAATACACCCACGCTGAACAAGAGCTTTATTTTAAAATAAGACTGTCCTCAGGTGGGGGGAGGTGAAACACAACAAAGGCTTCCATGTTGAAAGGCAGACAGTCCAGATATAAGCATATACCTACACGCGTATGAAAAAAAATCCATATAACTAATTGATCATGAACAGCAATCGATACCAACAGGAGCCATTAGATTATTAATAAACCCAGAAAAGTGCCATGCATAGCGGCCAAAGGTGGCTGCCTGCTGCGCTCTAACCCCAGGAAAGGCAAAATTACGCGTGCAGAGGAGGGTCGAGCCCTCCGCAGGTTTAAAGACCCCCGGAGCACCTCTTGCCCTACCCTCCGCGCCAAGCACCAATGCACCGCACAGGATTCGAGCACTCCCAGCGCTGCGAGTCCGGCAGAAAACTGGTGAATGAAATACGCACAGACACCAACCTGGCCAGTGACCGCGGCGCAGAACCAGGGGTCGCTAACTAGCTAAGCCACAGGATTCTCCAGCAGGGTGGAATAAAGGGAGTACACCCCCCCCACCTCCGCAACTGGAATGCGGCTCTTACTGACCCTTCCAAAAAGGGGGTGGAGGACGCAGGATTTTTTTCTTTCTTTCTTTTAAACTAAGTCTAAGAACGCGAATCGGAAGCAACCGAGAACATCTTGGGGGGCCAGACAACAGACACCGGGATAAAGGCGAGACTGTTCTCCAACTCCCGGGGAATCGCCATCCGGTGTGACATGCATCAATCAACTAGCCCCAGCCGGGGGCCGACCCCGGCCCCGCTCTCCGCCCGCGGAGCGCCAGTGGGGCTGAAGCCGGGGATTAGAGGGGTGACCCTCCCGAGGCGCGGGGAAAGAGTGCCGGGCACCGTTGCCCTCAAGGTCACCAGGCGCTGGAGCGGGGGCGGCCGGCCGCAAGATGGGCTATGGCGCGGCGGAGGCGGCTCGGAGAAGTGAAGAGCTGCGGGGTTAGACGCGAAGTCCCACCGAGCCCCGTCCCTGGAGCCCTGGGCGGGGACTCCCGGCCGGACCCGGCGCTGAGGCGCACGCCGAGGAAGCCGCTCACCTTTACGATCTGCCGGGGCGGGCGCGGCGGGAGACAACCTGCGAGGGGGCGCCGGAACGCCCCCGCCAACTTCTCCCGAATCCGCGCAGTCCACGGAGCACCCAGCTGTCAGGAGCGACGCCCCCACCTCCGTGTTCCGCCAGGCTTCCCCCGCAGGTGACCTGTCCCGCCGCCCCCGCCGCGGACGGGCGGCGGCCGCCACTCACCTCGCCAAGCAGCAGGAACCATTTTCCGAAGGGGAAAGGAAGGGGAGGCTGCAGGAGGGTCGGGGGGAGGGGGCGGTGAGGACAGCGGGAAACGCAGAGAACGGGGGCTCGGTCCTCAGCCCGTCCGCAGGCGGCTCGCAGGACTCAGAGCGCCAGGCGGAGGTTCGGCTGCACCTCGAGGATGAGGTGGCCCCAGAGCTGAGAGGTTCGGCTTCCACCAGCCGGGGCTCCCTACTCACGCTGCACTGCGAGGAGGCGGCGGCGCCGGCGGCGGAGGAGGAGGCGGCGCCCGGCCGGCCCCCGCCCAGAGCCCGGCAGCCGCCGAGTGGCCGCCCGCGTCCCCGCAGGACCCGCCTCCTGAGCTCCGCAGAGCCGCACACAGGGCGCGCCGCGCTCAGCACGGGCAGCTCTGCCGGCCTCACGCCGCCGTCCGCAAAGGCAGCGGCGGGCGGGGTGCAGCCCCCTCCGGGAGCACCGCAGCCCGACCCGCTCGGGGCGGGGCCCGCGGCCCCCGGAGAGCGGACAGCGGAGCACGAGGGGGCTACGCGAAGCTTCGGGCAGGGGCGCCGCTTGCACCGGGTGGCCCGCAAGATTGCAGGGGGAGGCAAGGGGAGGTGAACACTCACCCGTTCCGGTCTGGCGCTCCCTTCTCTCCACACCTTCTCGCCTCCCGCTCCACGCTGGCGGCGCAGCTGCTGCCACTGCCGCCACTGCCGCCGCCGCCGCCGCCGCCGCCGAAGCTCGCGTTGCCGCCGCTGCCGCCTTGGCTAGGCGCGGTCACGTGACGCGGCCCGCGGGGAGCCTGGGGGCGGGCAGGCGCGCGCGCGCGGGAGGAAGCGCGACTCGGACGGAGACTGGGAGCTGAGCGGAGCCGAGAGGGCGTTTAAGGGGAGGACCCGGAGAGCGCGCCCCCGGCTGGCGAGCGCGCGCCCGATGATTAGCACTTGCCGCGCGGTGGGGAAAGGGTGGCCGGAGTGAGGGGCGGGGGACTCGTGCCTCCACGCGCCCCTCCCTCTCTTCCTCCGCTGAGCGCCTCGGCCGGCCGCTGCCCCCGCCCCCTCCCGTTGGCCCCTTTCCTCCTGTCGCTGCCAGCGATTGGCTGAAAGGCTCTGACGTCCTTGTTTCCATGACGTATCGGGGCGGGGGGCGGAGGGGGAGGAGGGGGTGGGTCGGACAAGCGGGGCGGTGACGCCGTCAGTCACAGCTGCTGTTTCCGAGCGGGTCCGGGCGGCTCCCGCAACTGTGGAGGCGGGAGAGCGATGTCTGCCGCAGGCTGACTTGGGCGCCCTTTACTTGGGGTCCCGCCCGAGGCAACCCCGGGTCTGCGCTCCTCCGAGCCCGGGAGCCGGGCTGGCGGGCGGGCTAGGGCAAGCCCTCCAGGCGAGGACCGGTTAACGCAGACCCCCGCGTCCGCGGACATTTGAGCGGCTCCTCGCCATGTCTCTGCTCCACTCCGTACCGGACTCGGTTCCTGTCCCGGGCCGTGACGCACGCGCCGGACGACAAAAGTGCCGCCTAGCTCGCTCCCTCCTTGGAGGAGGACAGCCCACACCCCCCCACGGGCGAGGGGCGCTCCATCTCTGTTTCTGCCGGTCGGGCCCGTAGACTCCGGGGATACCCGCTGCAGCGCCCAAAGAGTTAACGCAGGCGTTCGGCCGGTGTGAACAGGCCCATCAGGATCTGCGCTCAGAATCCCCGTGTCTTCCTTTGGGGTTTGCGTTTTCTACCTATGCCAAGCCTTTGGCTCTTCAGTTCACTTGTAGCATCTCGGAGGGGGGAGGGATTGAGATGCTGAAAGGTAACATGCTTTGCCACAACCTTCAAGAGATTTTGCAAGTTAATAAAAAAGAAACCACCGTAGTGACATTTTCAGAAATAAAACGGGTTTTCTTTCCTACACACACATACACACGTGTTCAAAGATTTGTGTCTTACCTAAGACATCGTGCTCCATCTTCGTCTAATCGCCTCTGTTTGAACTGTCGCCGCTGCTTTAGAGAACTTGTCCGTGTTATTTTCAATACCACTTAATCAGAACAAAAAGATAAATTCTGCAGAGGCTCCTCCTTTCTCTTAACTCCAGGACTGGAAAAATTAATGTCTGTAACGTCTTCCTAAAAGCAAACAGTCGATGCGAAGGACTTTATTATGTATGTTCACTCTGGTAGTGTTTACATTAAAATAGTTTTGAAGGATTTAAAAACTAAATATGTGAAAAGTTTAAAAAGCAAAAAAAACCCAGTTAACCCTGTTGAAAATTTTTTTATCAATTTACGTATCTTACCAGGTCAAACAGTACCAACATTTTGAGCTGTGCCCTTGACATGCAAAACAAGCACTGGGCAGGATGACCCCGTTTTTTCCTCTCATTAATCACTGATAAGAAATTGGTTGGTGGGTACAACAGCCCTTCCTGACACTATTTCAAAACTTCTTAACAGAAGAACAGATTAACTTTTCAAAACGGCTTAGAGACATTTAAGACTCATTGGCCTTTGTCCAACTTTTCCTCCAAGGAAGTCGCAATAGAAAATTGAATTATGTATTCTACTTTAATCAAGAATTTGACATTAAAGTAATATATGATTCATTGCTATAGTGCACTAGCAAAATGGATAATAGATTAAACTAGAATCTGTTCACTTTGTGGGTTTGTTGCAGTTCCAAATAACAAACGGTATGCTCGTACAGTGTTGTGGTCATGAAAAATTACTCAGCATCTTCATTTTAGAACATGATTTCAGTAGAGTTTTCATTTATGGAGATTATATACATATATATCCCAGAACATATTTATGTGCATTTTAATGAAATGTGAGTCACATACAATAGTATATTTTTACTGTCATAGTCAAGATGATTGTACTGTGTAGTTTGGTTTTTATATTTTCATTCTTCAAACAGAAAGCAATATATAACTGTACACATTATATATAGAAAATTCATCTTTTTCTCCCAAAGGTTTAGCACTGAAACCTTCTTAATGGCATATTTTTCATTGTAAAAATCAAGAAAATATTTGATTACTTAAAAAATGGAACTACTTAAATTCAAGAATGCCACTGTATATGATATAACCGTATTCTTTTAATCTTAGACCTCACTCTATGGATTCAATTGATCCATAGATATATTGGTGCATAATAAGAGCAATATAATGCAATTTATTGTTGAAATACTTAATCTTCTAAACCACTTTTAATATGCTTTAAATATTTATTTTTAGTTACAATGAAAATTTTATAAAGGTATTTAAATCTTATGGCAAGTTACTATTTGGGATGTTAACATTGCTTGAAGACAGGCTGTGTATTCAAAATAATGTATTTTGCAAACTGTTAAAGTATGTTTCATTTAGTGGCATAAATCTCAACTATTGACATCTTTTCTAATAAGTTGATCAATTCAGTATGAACTAATCTTATATAACTTATGGAGACAGTTTTCTAAAATCCTCAATGTAATTAAGTGTAAAGGGAAACATTAGGATCTTTATTCCCTCAAGAATTCTGTCACATTCATCTATCGAGGGGACAAAATAAAGGCATACCAACAGCAGCATATTTTTAAAACCATATCATTTCCCAAAGTACACTTTTATACGTATGTGAATGTGTCAGTGCTAGTCATTGCAGAATACTAAAGAGAACTGACAGGTGTAGGGAGGCAAAAGAGGAAAAATATTCAACGCTTCATAAAAAGTAGTTGTGTATGTTCTCAAATTTCCATTAACCTGGATCATCAGAGAGAGAGATATGAAGTGAAACATTACTTAGCTGAAAGCCGCAGAGAACTGTTATCTATAAGTAACAAACTAATTACATTTGCTGAATTAAATGAAGTATGATTACAGGTAAGCCTAGAATAAGAATTTTCAAGTCACATAATGGAAAATTTTTATAGGTGAAAAATGTGAAACGGTTAGATGTCATAATTTGATGGGAATTATTTAACATCCTGTACCCTTCAGTATAAGGCATTTTTTTTCTACCCCATATGTAGTATCTAGGTTATAGAGTGTGGCCCTAAATCTAAATTCCAGAGACTCAAAAAAAATGGAAAGCTCTTACTTAAATGTTCTTGAGGAAGATTTCCTAAATGAGGATTTGGACTTGACTGGTGGCACGAAATATATAGGAGATTTAAATTAATGCAAAAGAAGATGGGGAATAGAAATGTCAGGAAATGTACCTGAGAATTAGCAAGTTTACCACATCCATTTTCCTATCCTTTCTTTATCTATGAAACATAGATTTACTACCTTTGTTACCTTTCACCTCCATATGTAACTCATTTATTTTCCCATTAATAATGGTGAGTTATGGTGTATCATAGGGTTGTTGTGAAGTTTTGGTGAAATGTTTATATTAAGCTCTTAACAGAAAAATTGGCGTTAAAAAACGCTCGGGAGCTGTTATTATTTTTCGTAAGCATGCATTCTTTATCCCTTATTACAAAGTAAATGTGCTGCAAACAAGAATATACATTTTTACTTGACTTACTTTAATGAATAGGGGCTTATTCTCACGTTAGAAGTTCAGAGGTAGGTGACAGTATGATTGATTCAGTTGCTGAACACAGAATCAAGGATCCAGGCTAACAGCTTTCTGCTCCACCCACCCTGGTGTGTGCTTCAGTATTTTTTATGCCCAAAACAGGAAAGTCAGAAGGATTTTTCTCACATCTGTGGTGCATCTTATGTTTTTCAGATTATTTAGTGCTTATAGTTTTATATAATTTTTCGTTATTGCCCTCCTTTCCTTTGAAACCCCTCCTTTGTTCTCAAGATATTAGAATGTGCCGAAGAATCACCTGTGTGAGCTTAGCAATGCAAATTCTTGGGGCCATAGTGGCAGAGCTTCTGACCCCGACTGTTTAGAGTGGAGCCAGAGGATAGGCATTTTTGATGGTTCCTTTAGGTGACTTTGATGCACTTCACAGTCTCTGTTTCCCTCCTTTGTCCTGACATTCTCTTGTTGTGTTCTTCTTTAGTTCTTCATTCTCTTTCCCTGGCTATTTCCAATATTAAGTTCTTATACTTGAGCATTTCCTTCTATCCTGACTTTCATAAAGTTCACCCATTTTCATGACTTCAGCCCACTGAGGATAAGGATAATGTTACTAATTTATTCATTAGTCATTTGTTGATCTTGACAATTATCCTCTCAGTTTACTAAGGAAGGAAAACATGGAAGATGCCTACTGTTTAGGAGGCATTAGCATCAAGGTAGTAATTCATCTATTCTTTTATACAAAGAAACTTTCATTAAACATTTATTACATGCCAGGCCTAATAAGATCTGGCACATAATAGGTGATTAAAATAAAATTAGTTTGAAATGAATAAACAAATGAACTATCACCTCTCCAATGATAAATTCTAAATTTTTATCCACTGCCTTGTTCTTTTATTCTGGTGACCCCAGGGAACTCCTTCAGGGTCATTTTTTTTCTTCCAGGTGGAAATAAAGTTGAGCCTTGAATGACACAGGGGTTGAGGCACCCAGCTCCCAGCAATTGAAAATCTGCCTATAACTTTACAGTCAGAACCCTCAGAATGGGACAAAATATTTGCAAACGAAGCAACTGACAAAGGATTAATCTCCAAAATATACAAG